GTACCAGCTCCCTCCTTTTATAGATGGAATTTCCAACGGTTAATTGCCTCAGGAAGTGGGATTGATCTCAGAAAATGTAGGAGTTAGTGGTCCACTCCTTTCGGTATTTGAAAGCACTCACAGCACGTGCAACATTTCTGCACTTTTTATTTGCATGACAGTCGTCATGGATTTGTGACGGTCGTAACACGTATGACGGTCGTCATGGACTTGTGACGGTCGTCACATCAGCAAAATTCGTATTTACTGTTTTTGGCCTGTTTTTCATCTGGTTTTCATCTGTAATTGCTTGTTTTCTTCATCTTGCTCCATTTGAGCATGAACTTTGAATACTTGCAAAATACTGGACAAATAATGTGGAAATACCCGAAATCAGAGTGAAACCAGTCACTGATTAGTAAAAATGTATGTCATTATATATATATATATATATATATATATATATATATATATATATATATATATATATATATATATATATATATATATATATATATATATATATATATATATATATATATATATATATATATATATATATATATATATATATATATATATATATATATATATATATATATATATATATATATATATATACGATTTCGCGTTATCAATTTTCAAACACCAAACCCACTTCAAAATTTTCACCATTATGGTTTGGTTTGTCATTTTCAAAAATATAGATGGGTTGAGAAGACTCCATACATATGTTTGACATATGCACTGGTGGATTGTACAGATTTATGGGTTGAGCATATATTACATGTGAATGCACGAGTTCATCGTCACCCTCATCATCGTCATCACCGAATAGATCTTCAAAGCGAACATCATCGAGTTCATCGTCACTGTATTCACCAACCTCCTCGTCCCGGATGAAAGGTTCATTATTTTGCGTTATTTCTTCATCAGTTGTTTGGCTTACTCTGTATTGATGCGAATATGATGATTGTGTTGGATATGCTTCGTCTTCAAGGCGAACATATAACTCAATCGTCTTCAACTGGGGCATTGTGTAGTGACATTGAAACATTGATTTGACTGCGCTGTCTGTGTCTATCTATATCATTACGTAGAACACACCACCATCTACCCCATTAGGTAATGGTTGACGGTAAGTAATATCCTGAACTGAACGATTCACTTTTTTTTCAATTCTATCTTTTAGATGAAGGATATCGGAACTTCAATGAAGTTTGAACATCACCGTATCTGTTCCGTTGAATGAATAACCGATATTTTCATCAGTAAACACAGACCCATTATAGTGCATAGTGACCAATGTGTTTCTATCTGCCATGAATGATTTTTTGATACTGATAGTGTGGGAGTGGGAGTTAGATGTGTGGACTGCAACAATTGCATGAAAAATATATAGAACAGTCGTGCATGCTGAGCTAGTTAAGGATCCTCCAACCAAAGGACAAACCCGTTCATTCCTAGTTAAGGGTCGTCCAACCAAAGGACGAACCCACGAGGCACGTGTAGGGGTTCGGCCATTCCAAGGGCGAACCATTAAAGAGCGCCATTTGCATGCTGGCCACATGTCGTTGCATACTTCTAGGGTTTAATACAATAGGGTGCAGAAGAATCAATTTAGGTTGTAGAAGAATCATAGGATGCAGTCTAGTATTGCATGCATGTTATTTTCCAACGGATATTGGTATGTATTATATAGTAAGGTGCATCCATTTTTCTTATAAATACTTCTAAATTAATATTTCAAAATCACTACCTCTAAATACATTCTTTAAAATCACTACTTCTAAACCAATATTTCAAAAAATAACATTCTAAATCAATACTTCTAAATGGCAATGTTGTGGATGGGAGAAAATCATCGGGGAACACCGACCAATGTGGCCGCATTTGTAAGTTTTTTTTATTCACACTTGTGTTTTTTTTCTTCATCAAGTTTGTATTTATTTTTTCTATTTTTGAAACAGTCCGATAGCGAGAGATTTAGACTACATTCTCATGCTATTGATGCACCAAGTGACGCAATCAAACCGTTTTTGGTTCGAGCGGGTTTCGCAAAAGTTGCAGAAATCTCCTCAATCAAAGTTGATTCAAAGCTTGTACTCGCTATGTTGGAGAGGTGGAGACCAGAAACACATACTTTCCATCTACCAACAGGTGAATGTACTATCACTTTGGAGGATGCGAGTGTGTTATTGGGTCTTCGTGTGAATGGCAAGGCTGTGAATGGTCCTACTCAGGTAGGAGGTGATGTATATATGGAACATTTAGGTATCGAACCTACAACATCCCCCGATAAACATAAAGCGTGTGTTAAAATTGTTTGGCTACAAACTACATTAGCACGATTACGACAAATAGCAACACCATCCGATGAGGATAACATTCTCCATGCAAAAATTTATATTTTACTACTTATAGCTAAAGTATTAATGCCAGACAAGAGCCATAACTATTTACATTCATCTTGGATACCCCTAGTAGGAGATTTAGATAAATGCAATAGATATAGTTGGGATTCTGCTTGTTTGGCTACATTATATAGGCATATGTGTAAAGCATGCATGGTAGGGGTCAAAAGTATTGGTGGATGTGTTCTACTTCTAAGTGCTTGGACATATTGGCGTATACCGCTAATAGCTCCAGATTCTCCCGTCGATTCACACCATCCTTATGCAACAAGGTAAATTTTTTTACATTTTCTTTATCATTTATTTTCTTTTTTTTCCATCCCTAAATTATTTTTATTTCTTTTAACATTGCAAGATTTGTTCGAAGAGGCATAGCTTATCAAAATAATCCTCGGCACTATGTCCGAGGATTTAGATTTGCACTAGAAAGGTTAAGGGCTAACGATGTAAGTTTATTAGCGCTACATTCTCTAAAATGTGCCACCATCTGTATTAAAACTCTAACAATTATATTTTCTGTAACAGTTTATTTGGAGGCCATACCCAAGCTACCCAGAACGCGTCCTTAAAGATAGCCAGATTTGGAGCGCTACAACTTCAATTATCAGTTTCCATATCGTTGAAATGCATCAAGCTGATAGGGTAAAATTTGCAGTTTGGATTTCAACAAGATATCCCTCCTCAGCCTAGATGTCTACGTGAACAACATGAGACTGATATGCCCAATACATGGGGAGATCATTGACGCAATATAAATAAAGAAGAGAATAACGAGTGGAGAAACAGAAAACAATTGACCATACGAGGTAACATGGTTAACGGTAACTATGTTCATAGTACTGCATATATGCAATGGTTTTTATCCATTCCATTTATCCACGCTTCTCAAGGTTAGTTCCTAGAAGACCCCCGTCAGTATGCATCATCTTCATCACAACAAAGATCCTCTTCGCCCATGCCTCAAGAAATGCCTCAGGTGAACCCTACACAATTTCAAACACAAACATCTTCATTCACCCAGCCCCCACAACCCCAACCAACATATCAACGCACTCATACCACATTCTTTGCCACCTCCTCTCAACAACCAACACCATACACCCCAACCCCACAAACAAACTACTACTACCAACAACAATATCAGGAACAAGCCACATTTCGACCTTCTTTTCAATTCACTCCGATCCCTCAGCCTAATTTTGATTTCTCTTACCCCCAACCACAACACCAAACATTTAACCCTTCAATGTCTCAACCAACTTCAATCGGCCACACTGACAATGTTTATTATCCTTCCATCCAACAAAGTCCTCCAACCACCTTCACCCAACCATTCCAGTCAACCCTTAACTTTACCCTAACTGATGATCAACTCATGGAATGACCAGGTTTTTCGGTTACTGATGTGGACATGCTTGATACATCACATCAACCTGAAAATGAAGAGTTGACTTCCGACTCTACCCCATCACCTCCAAGACGGCAAACCCAAGAGTTAGGCAGGGGAAAACGTGTGAAAAAGAGTAAAATGTGTGGAACTGGCGGTCATTTGCGTAGATAAAAATAATGTATTTTTTCCACTCATAAATATTAATAAAATTTCTTTTATTTATGATTTAATTTATTATTTTATATAATTATTTAGTTAAACAATTAATTAGATAATGTAAAAAAATATTTAATAATATTAAAAAATTATTAAAAATAATTAAATTATTTATTAATTAATATAAAATATCATTTAAATAATTTTAATATATAAAAAATAATTAATTAGATAATGTAAAAAATATTTACATATGAAAAAATTATTTAAAATAATTAAATTATTTATTTATTAATATTAAAATATTATTTAAATAATTTTAATATATAAAAAACTATTTAAAACATAAAATAATAAAATATAATATATATTTATTTCTAAAGAAAAAAAAAACACGCAGTGTAAGATCGGCCAATGGATGACCGAATCTATACAACATGAAAAAACCCTTCAATAAATCGTCCTTCCAATAAACAAACATTTTCTGTAATAGTGACAGTTTCGCAATTTTTTTTCAAATTGTAGTAATTTGATATTTAATTTTTCAATAGGTAGCATTTGCGTAAAAAATTCCACAAAGTTACCAAAGACACCAAAGTCAAAGGTAGCAAATCCTAACCCACCTATTTGAGTTAGACTTAAATGAGACACGACGATAGCTACTAGTAGTATCTTCTAGTTTCATGACATCTAAAAGTTGAGTTGTCTAGGAGAAAGACAAAATACGCATCCATCAGCCCGTTAGATCCACTCGTTTCTTTTCATAGTTTTCTTTATCTTAATTTTCCTTTCAAGAATATTGAATAACAGCCAATCTCATTCACAAAAATTATCTTGTGAATAAAAGACATAATTATTCACATTTCTTTGTATGACAATTTATGTCTCACCCTCTTACAAACGTGCTACATATATCCAACATAACCAATCAAGTTTCGACAACAATTTTGTGTTGTTTATCATTACTATGAACTTAAAAATAACTACCTTTCGTTTCTCATATGCATTATCCATATCAAGAAAACCGTCGTCACTAACCTTATTCACATATTATTACTACCATGTTTTCATTAAGACTCCCCATTCCATTAGAGAAAACTCTAATAACATATTCTACACCAAACACAACATATAATTCTAATTATTACTCTTATAGCAGGATGAATCATATTCAAAATATTCGTCGATGTTCTTTGAAATCCATTACCAATCGCTGTACAATTTCCATGGCTTTTAAGGATGAAGTAGAAGGAGAAACTTTTCCGGACGAAGATTTTCCCGAATTGGAGCCGTTGCCGGGAGAGCTGCAGGCGGAGCTGATGCCAAAGCATGTGGCGGTGATTATGGATGGGAATGGGAGGTGGGCGAAGATGAAAGGGCTACCGGTGTCTGCAGGTCACGTCGCGGGTGTGAAGTCGTTGAAAAGGATGGTGAAGCTGTGTTATAGTTGGGGAATAAAAGTTCTCTCCATTTTCGCTTTTTCTACTGATAACTGGATCCGGCCAAAGGTCATTCATTATACTTCTTTTAAAACCAAACTAAATCATATTTATATTTAATTTAGAATAACTATTTCAATAAAAATACAATTAACTACTAAAATAATTTTAATTTAATTTAAAATTAGTTTAAAATTAGTTTGTATTTATAAATTAATTTATAATTAATTTGCAATTATAAATCAATTTTACAATTTGAATTCTTTTAAAACCAATTTTTTTAATTTTAATATTTGAAAACTATAATTAAAAAATATACATTTTTTTATTTAAAAATTTTGATTTTTTTCTGGAAAAATAAATCGGGATAAATCATTTTAATTTTTGTAATTTTTTTTACTTTCCTAAAATAAAAATTTTAGAATAAATTTTATTCGAAAAATAATTTTCTAACAAATAAAATTTTAAGAATAATAAAAATAATTTTTTCATAAAAAAAGTTTTAGAATAACAAATTTTGGGGAAAAATTATATTTAATTTCTTTTTATTTTTCGAAAAAAAATTTCTGAAAAATAAAAACTTCAGAATAAAAAAATTTAAATTTTGGGAAATTTTTTTTTTGAAAAAAAAATCTAAAAAAAAAAATTTCAGAATAAAAAATTTATTTTAAAAAAAAGTTAAATTTTTTTTTTCAATTTTTTTTATTTATAAAAAATATTTTCAATAAAATATTTTTTATTTTTCAATAATTACAAATATATTTTTGTTTTCACTTTTAATAGTTTTTTTTTCTTCTTTTTATAAAAGAAAATTAATTATGAATCAATTTTAAATTATATTAAGATTATTTAAATTAAATGGTTCAATTTATTAACTGGGGTTCAGTTTTTTTATGATACAATATAATTCAGATTAATAATATAGTTTTGTTAACTATATTGTTGCACACTCCTAACTAATGGTGGTTTTGCTTAATTTTGTTAATGGTGATGGTGGTGATATAGGTGGAAGTTGAATTCTTGTTTACACTCTTTGAAAGATCAATACTTTCTCAAATTGAAGAATGTAAGAGGTATCAATACTCTCATAATAAAAGTATTAGAATTAATCTTTACTCTTTGTTTGTATTCTCATTGTCTTGGATAAATCTCTTCTCAATTTCTTAAAAAATAAATTGAAGTGTTTTGTACCGTAGTTTTATAATGAATAAAGTATATAAATGGTTGAAGAATGTGGATAAGGAGTTAAATAGTTGTTTCTAGAGTTGGATATTCGGTTGATTTTCGCTGCAAAACTTAAATTTGATATAAATCACAATTTTATTTTTATGGTCTAATTTTGGTCGATAAAATTTTGGTTTTTATCAAATTTGATTAAGCCGGTTTGACGGTTAAGTCGAATCGATTTAGTCAGTTTAATATTTATTAGAACAAACTTATCCAAATTTTTTTTTTCAATTTTTTATTAAAAATATCAAAATTTTAAAATAGAACTATTTTTTATTATTAAAAGAAAAATTATTATTACGGAATAATATTTTTCATATTATTTAACGTTAGTTTTAATCATTATTATATTTTAAACCATAAATTTAATAATATTCAATTTTATATTACATGTCTTGTATTTTTTTTTTGAGTATACAATGTCATCATTAAATTATAAAAATGATAATATTTTACAATATTATGAATATCATTTTTATAGTGAGTCGGTCATATAGTAACAAAAATAAATAAAATATATATTAATTAAGTTCGGTCGGTTTCAATTTTTTTTGTATAAAAAATAAGCACCTGAACCCGATCGAAGCAACCCTAAACTATTCAAATTAAACAACCGAATTAACTCGACACCCGACCTGTTTCATTTGCACAAAAAAGGCAACGGATCGACCGATTTTAATCGGTCGGTTCAAATTTGTCTATCCCTAATTGCTTCAAACATAGACATATCCAAAATAAAAATAAAGATGGTATGGATGACAATGGACAGAGTTTGGGTAGGATACTATGGTACTCGTCCCCATACTCGAAGTTTGAAAAAATCTCTGTACCCGAGTTTATACCCGCTTGGGTATCAACATTGACACTCGTTCCCATATCCTATGAGTATATAAGTGCTCGTGCCTATATCCATTATCCGCATTTATAATAAAAATAAATATATCAAATATAATATCATAATATTTTAAGTTTTTAAAAAATTAAAAAAAAATTCATTGTTGAATTATGAAATAAATTATCACTTATATTAAATATGCGGTAGCTTAAAATTGTTTTTTTTTTTAATTTTATAAATATTTAATTTATATAATAATATAAATTAAAATATATAAATATATATTTTGTGGGTATGGGGCGTGGTGGGTACTAAGGTGCCCATACCCGCACTCATCCCCACTTATTTAAGTGAGTAATTACTCAAACTTGTGTCTGTACCTATTTTTACGGGTTTTTATCCTATCCGTTATAGATAATTTTGTAGGCCAAATTGCCATCTTTAAAAGAGGATTTATAACTTTATACTCATCTCACTCATATTTAATATTACATTAAAAATAATCTGCCTCAAGTAAAGAAAAAATTCCTTTGTCACACACTACTTTAAGTATTAAGCCATTTCATAAAAATAAAAAATAAATAATTTATAAAATTAAACTTACTAATAATTGATGGATATTATATTAGAGATTACCAAATTAATCTTATTTATTATTACTATTAACTAAATTAATATATAGTTAAGAAAAGATAATTAATATTACTATTAAATAGAAAATTGAAAACTCCAATTTTTATGAAAATTTTCTATTGTTTTAAATGTGATTATTATTATTAGAGTTTATCTTAACTCATTCATATAAAATTGGTTTGTAAGATGAATGTTATCACTTTATATAAACTTTTTCAAGATTTTATCTCTAACTAATGTGAGATATGTGCGTTTTTTTCAATATATCCCTTCACACACCTAACACTCTTTTGGATTTGATGCGTGAATATAAGTGGTAAGTGACATCAATAAACTTTGATATCATATTAGAGTTTAACCTAACTCATCCTTACAAAATCAACCTATAAACTGGTGAGTGTTCACTCTATATAAAATCTTTCAATAGTCTATCTCAAACCAATGTGAAACATGAAATTTTTCCTATAATTATTATTAATATTATAAAATATTAAATTACGACACTACTAAAATTATTTGGATGAGATTTGATTTTATTATTGAAACTTCAAAACCTAATTTATTAGATTATCTATAATTAGGGATTATGGAAGAGACAACTCTTTAATAAAACATTCTAAATAATGATTAAAATAGATAAACATCTTTAATAGACCACAATACAACAACTTCATCTAAATCTTGTGATATACATGTGTCGTCACAAGTTTAAAACATGAATAACGAATAACGAGTAATCAAAAGATGTTAAGTTACAATATGTTTGCCATTCCTTTATGGTGACATCAGAGGATTGATCTTTGATTCTTCTTGGTCTGTTAACACTAAGAAAACATCAATTTGGGGAGAAATCTAAGGTTGTCCTTAAGTGTTTGGAGGGATTCAAATTGGTTTGGTAAATAACATTTCTTGTAAGTTGGAAAATAGTTTAAAAATTGACTTTTGGAGACATAGATGACTCAATTCAGATTCTTTATAATGGTTATTTCCTGGTTTATTTGAACTTGTGCAAGATTCCAGGCGAAAGGTGGATGGTTTGGGGTACTGATTAATGGTGATTGAGTTTGCAACGGCAAGATTAATTATGACCTTCCTACGGGTTGCTTATGGATTGACTTGGACGAACTCGAAAGCATTCTTTTTTGTGTCAATCCCAATTCGTTCTTAGCGGATGCATTTGTTTGATGACGTGAAGTTACAGGTTTTTCAGTTAAGTCTATTTATTATAGGTTAGATAATATCGCAATTGCAGGTTTCCATCTGGATTTCAAATTATTAAGTGCTTTTAAGCTGTTGTGGAAATCCAACATAACCATCAACATTCAAATATTTGCTTGAAAATTTATTTTGAATAGGCTCCAAACTAGGGACAAACTTGCGAAAGGAAGAATCATTAGGGGTTTACATAATCTTGTATGCCCTCTTTGTTTGGGACCAGAAGAAACTCGTCTTCATCTTTTTCTTCTTTGTCTCGTGGTAGTGCTTGTGTGACAACTTGTTTTGGGTTAGATAGTAGGTTTCTCTCTTTTGATGTGATCTTAGACCATTTGAAAGCCTTTGGAACTCTCATGAAATGAAGTATCAAAAAGAATTTATGTCTCTTATTTTGGCTCTCAGTTACTTGGTCTATTTAGTTAGTTAGAAACGACATCCCATTTAAGGGATGCCATAAAGGAGCTAATGAAATTGTGTATTTAGCTAAGTCCCTTTCGTGGGAATAGTTCGGAGCGAGATCCAAGACCCTTCTCGTTCTTGATATGAAAGTTTGGCTTGTTAGTCAGTTAGCCTGTATTAGTAAGTCTTGTTGGATTGTTCTTGTACTTCTTTGCTTCATATGTTATATTAGGATTGAATATCCCTTATACATGCTTTTAGTGCAACCTCTTTAGATTATAAAATAAAAAAATATAATATGTAAAATAAACACATAGACACACATACTAACACATAAACAAAACATCAAACATTGATAAGGAGACATACAAATAATAACATTTACATCAATTATTCACTCATATTCATTATCTTATAGTTCACAAAGTTATAAATAATGACAATACACTCCACATTCATGTTTATTAATTCATATGTATAAGAAAAAAATATCATACACACTTTCATGTAACACTTCTTAGATATATAGTATCAAACTAATTCTAGAATATATTTTGATGTTGAGTCGAATTAAAATGTCAAATTGTTGGGTGGGCGAAAAAACTCATGTAATTAACCATGTCTTCATAAAATCACTCAAAAGGCGCTTATAAGTGGTTAGTCGAAGTAAACAAGAATTTCATGGTAGATTATTGCATTGAAGTTATGCCCTCAAATCATCTAGGAATTTACCCTTTAATAATTATCAGAGTATAATGTATTACTGATAGGCTCATCCATATTGACCTTAAATGTTATCCTCATTTGACTCTTGTGTTCCTCCAACATTGGATTGTCAAACTCCCACACTATAATGACATGCATAGATCGTATTATAAATGGCCTAGGTCATAGACTTCTTCACTTGTATTCTTCTCATTGTCGTTTAAAGTCTTTCTTTAGTTGAAAACAATTATAAGCATGAGTTGAATATCGTCTCACAATTCAGATTAATCACACTCGACTTAGATGACATGGCACATGCATTTGCATACGTCACAGTTTACACAAAAATCACATTTCACATTATCATATTTCAAATGATCACACTTCACACAAATCATATTTCACAAAAGTCATATTTCACATAATCACAATACTCCACATGAATCATATCTCACATAATCTCACTTCACATTTTATCTAATCATAGCCTACTTTCATAGTCACACAAAATGTATTTGAAAACAAGTTCTTGCTTGGTACAAATAATTGGCATATTCAATTAGCAATAAAAATCACCTATAAAAATATTCCTAAATTCACAACAATAAAGATATTCCTAAAATCACAACAATAATTCTAATTATATCTGAGCATCACAAAATATATCTCTCATGATACATAGGCTACATAAAAATCACAAATTTAAAGTGTTACTAATTATATTATTATAATAATATTATTTTCCTCTTATATTAAGTGATGTTATTTATGTAAGCTTATACTAACTATTACTTTATTATATAGGGAAGGAATTAAAATATCTGTGATTGGAGATACATCAAAGCTCCCTAATTCCTTGCAAAGAATGATAACTAGTATTGAGGACTATACAAAAGAGAATTCAAAATTCCAAGTTATTGTGGCAATTAACTATGGTGGAAAATATGATATAGTCAATGCATGTAAAAGTGTAGCTAAGAAAGTGAAAGATGGTCATATTTATTTGGAAGATATTGATGAAAACACACTTGAAAAGGAGTTGCAGACAAACTGTACTGAGTTTCCTTACCCGGATTTACTAATCCGGACAAGTGGAGAACTTAGAGTTAGTAATTTCTTATTATGGCAATTGGCATACACAGAGTTTTTCTTTGACAGCAAACTATGGCCAGATTTTGGAAAGGATGAGTTTATAGAGGCCTTAATATCATTTCAACATAGACATAGGCGTTATGGTGGAAGACATTAATTAGTTCATAACCATTTTTTTTAATATGGTTCTAGTGGTGTTATATTAGTATGATAAATTTATAAATATATGTCTAAACTCTAAAGTATGAAGATTCTTATTGTATACTTTACTTATAGATAAATAAATAGTTTTTCTTTATATTGCTTGTGAAGGTCCAACATATCTATTGTGGTGCCAATTTGTATGTCGATACTTCAACCAATATAGAGTATGGTCTGGATTATAGTTTGATTAATCATTTATGTTTAGTTCATCTTGTTGGGGTTAACACCTTAGTTTGAATATTCTAATATATTTTCTTTTTGGAAGTAAGTCCTCTTTCTTTAATAATTATTCACCAAGAGCATTTGTCTTTTTGTTCTTTAATTTTTTCTCTTAATTTTTCATATAACTTTAACAAGTATTCATGAATACTCATAGATACACACATGTATTAATGATATAAATAACCTTAAAATTCTTGAAGTTGTCTATATAAGTCTCAAAATGTTTTTCTTGATTTTCAAAAAAATAACATTTATTTCTTTCGACCCATCGTGGTTGAACATGACAGGTGTCGCTATCAAACATTTCCCTCCTCAGAGTAAACAATTATGACCATGAGCTCTTTGAATATGATTGAAACTCGATCCACTACCTAACATCATCATCACCTAATTTACGATTGTACTGGAACTTAAAAGCCTTAAAATAAACACAAACATTCGACTAATTCGGATACACATCTATTATCTCTAAGTCTACCATGGAGATTTTAGGAAAAGCAAAACCACAACTAACCTCCTCGATTTCAATCCTAAATGGGTTTTCTACCTCTCTTCCTCCATACCTACCTCAAAGTCTTCCTTACTTTGGGAATCCTTTGACCCATCAACGTCTCCTCTAGAGTCCCCCACAACGTCAGAGCTATCGCTAATCTATAAAGTCTATAGAAGGATGCCTCACAGCTAAAATGACCATTTATGGTCTTTCAGGGTCTACCACTTCCGTTCATGAAGAAGCATCACACATATCATCTCCATTAGAAAAGTACACAAATGCAATGTTTGGATTACCTATGTTGGCCATGACTAGTAAGAAACAAAAACAACGGAAAAAGGTAGAGAAAGAAATTGTCACCTTGCAACAATTGTGAAATTTGAATCAAATGGACAAAGGTAGAATCACCATAAACCAATAAACATTACCTAAGCGCGAAAGTAAAGTGATCAGTGGTTTTTATGCGTTATTTTACCGTAAGTTTTAGATAATCTTCTTATAAATTTAGTTGCATTTTATTTCCTTTTATCGCATTTTATGCGTTGGTTTTGTATTTCCATTGTTTTTAAGTTCAGGTATGCAACCAAAAAGAATCGGAGCAAGAACCAGGAAAAATCGCAGAAATTCAAAAGAGTTTTTAGAAAGGAAACAGTGGTCTGACACGGCCACCCGTGTCACCTGACACGGCCATCCGTGTCATCTGACACAACCCGTGTCAGGACGATACCAAGAGAATGAGTAGTTATAGAAAGGCAGTGAGCTGACACGGGTGCCCGTTCACCTGACACGGCCTGTGTCAGCAAGTCTAAGGCATGCAGACTTTTTAGCAGTCAACTAGGGGGCCAACACGGTCCGTGTTGGTTACCTCGTGTCACCTTCTAATTTTTTTGGATTTTTACCTTTGTGATCCATGAGGCTATTTTGGGTATTTCTTTATTGTTGTGTTGGACCTGTGAGTATTAAAGATGCATTTTGAGAAGGAAAAAGGGATTTTTTGACGACAGAGAGAAATATAACAATCAAGATTGGAGCAATCACAAGAAGTTGGGAACGAATATTTTCATTAGCCTTCTCAATTGAACATCAAAGTAATCACTATTCTTGTAATGTTTAATATGATTATGACTGTAATTTCTCTGATTATTACGAGTAGCTAAACCCCCCAATGTTACGGGGTGTCCCTGAATTGCTTTTGTAATGAACTTGATTTCCTTTATTCTATGACATAAGTGCTTTTTTTCATAATCAATTTTATTGTACAATGTGTTCAATGCTTTTTCTATCGGATAAATGGAAATTAATTTATGGTTAACCTTAGGTCAGACAAACCACTGTAAATGCTTTTTGTACAATAATATTATAGTAGATATCACCTAGGACTAGGGATACCCTGTAGTAACCGTAACATTCTTGATAAAATATAATGTTTGATTTCATCCCAAATCTCTAAGGACTTAGGGTTTGGGATGAATATCAAAGGTTTTTCTTTCTAAGGCCTTAGGGAAAAATATACTTGAGAATCGATAAAGGTTTGTTTTAAGTCATGTCTCATGAATAAGGATTAAGGTTGTTGCAAGGCAATTCATACACTATACCCTATCATGCTTCTCATATCGGTTAAAACTCCCTTTTATTATTAATTGCTTTATTTTCTTATTTTTCCTTTATAACTTTACAAAACAATCCTCAAACTCCAATTCCTTTTTGTTTAATTGAATTACGATAAGAACTTATATTCCTACGCAATCCTCGAGGTCGATACTAGGGATAAAACCCCTATTTTAACTGCAATCGGAAAAAATGGTACACTTTCTATTTTTTCAATCAAGTTTTCGGTGTCGTTGTCGGGGACTGCCAAAATATAAGCTTAATTTTAATTCAATTGAAACTTTGTTGCTTTGCGACCAAAATTTCATTTTCAGTTTTTTATTATTATTTTTGTTCCGTTACTACTAATCTACGTCTAATATTTTTATGTGAGGAGAATCCTCAGCTGATTTTTCTTTTGACGCAGAAATCAGAAGAACTCTACATGCAAGGCATAGACAAGCAAGACTGGTAGCTTCAGAAGCAGAGCCTTCAACATCAGCACCAGAAGAAGAAAGAGCCTATGTTCATTTAGAGCATTCCGATTCAGGTTCAGACTCAGATAGAGATAATGTGACTATGGCTGAAGTTCCAACAGCTGAGAGACTCCTTGGTGATTACGGTGGAGCTAATGCATCGACTGATAGGTTAACAGTTGTAAACCAACCGGTGAATGTAGCAAATTTCTAGTTGCATCTAAGCATCATTACCTAACTTGAGAGGAGACCTTTCACCGGAAAGGTTAATGAAAATGCCAACAAACATCTTCAAAGATTTCTGACTATGAGCATTACTCTCAAGATTGATGGGACACTGATGAAGCGAAAAAAATTAAGAATGTTTTCGTTCACTCTTTCTAAAGAAGCTGAAGAATGGTTCTACTCGTTACTTGCCGGGAGTATTGTTACTTGGGAAGAGATGGATAAGGCCTTTCTTAATGAGTATTTTCTTGCCTCTGTGTATATTCGTAAGAGATATGATATCATGAATTTTAAACAAAATGAGGGAGAATCATTGGGCAATGCTTATAAAAGGTTCAAACGGTTGTTGGTTGCATGCCTTACTTATAACATGGATCAAACTGAACAAATTCAGATGTCTGTGAACGGTCTCAAGATGAAGACTAAGCAACTCATTAATACAGAAACCAATGGCTCATCAAACTTTACAACAACCGCTGGTATTAAGAAGATCATTAAAGTTATTGCTCCAAATGGGCATTTGGAATTATATGACCGTAGTGTGAGTAAACCTGAAGGAACAACTGACTTGAAGTTGGCTAATCAAGTTGTGAAAATGGAAGATCAAATTAAAACTGAAGTAGAAAGAAGGCTTAAAGAAATGAATGTAAGTACTCAAACTGTGGCTCAAGTTCAACTTGTCCAAGCCGTGAGTTGTGAGATTTATAGTGGACCCCATTTTACTACACATTGCGTTGCGACTGCTAAACAAATTGAAGAGATAAAGTTTCTAAAACAGAATAATCCTTATTCTCAGACTTATAATCTAAGATGGAAGAATCAGTTTAACTTCTCCTAGAAAGATCAGAATCAACCTAAATATCAACAGCAGCAACATGCTCCTCAAAAAGCAGAATGGGAAATAGCTATTGAAAAGATGGCAGCTCACAATATTCAATTTCAATAAGAGACACGGAATAATCAGAGGAACACCACAGCTTCTATAAAAAATCTTAAGGTTCAGATAGGACAAATAGCATAAGAACTCTCCATGCAAACTCAAGGAACCTTCCCGAGCGCGACAGTACCGAATCCAAAAAATCATGAGAATGTTAATATTGTCACAACAAGAAGTCAGAGAGTTGTGGAAGAAGAGGAAGAAAGGGCAACAAATGATTATCAGTGTATAGAGGTTGAGCTTGAAGTGAGAGAAAACAGGAAAGAACCGGAAAGGGCTTTACCACCTATGAAGCCAACTGAAGAGAAAAAAAAGAGAGGATGTTAAACCAAAAATCAAGCTACCTTACCCTCCGAGAGTTACAAAGAAGGATCAAAAGGAGAAAGACTTTGAAAAATTCAGCAGAATGTTCAAAAAGTTAGAGATCAATATTTCGTTCTTTGAAGCACCCGAGAAAATGCCTTTGTACAAGAAATTCATGAAAGAGGTAATGGAGAAAAAGAGACCAATGGGTGAGGAGCAGAAAATTCCAACTGAGCAGTATAGTGAAATAGCATAAGTTAGGAGAATACCCATCAAACGAAAAGATCCTAGATCGGTGGCAATCCCTTGTACGATAAAAGACAAAACTTTCAAGAATGTCCTTACTGATTCAGGTGCTAGTGTGAGTATCATGCCGTTATCTATTTTCAAAAAGCTAGGCATTGGAAAAGTGAGCAATACAGGAACAAACTTGAAGTTTACCGACCACATGACTAAGAGGTCATATGGGCTAGCAGAGGATGTACTCGTGACAATTGATAACTTTACCTTCCCGTTTGATTTTGAGATCATCGATATTCCAAAAGATGAAGAGACTCCCATCATACTTGGCCGACCATTCTTGCTTACTAGTCAGTGCATTTTGATATTGAAACAGGTACTCTAACCTTGAAATCTTTTGATGAGAAAATAACTTTAAAAGTGTTGGACATCAAGAAGCAAGGTAAAGAGGAAGACAACCACTCTGCAAT